TTGGGTTGATAATTTCCTTCGTTTTGGATCGACGTTCTTTGCAATAGAAGCTTCGCTCGCGAGGCGGCGAGGGACTTCATGGTCGGTGCCAATTTTTTTGCGCGGAGGAAATGGGGGACGGGTTCTCACTCTCAGATCTGCGCGGCCACGTGTGCTGTGGGGCGGGAAGTGAGATCCGTGCCCCGAGGTCCGACGCCATGTTTTTTCGGCCAATTCTTCGCACTGAAGGGGGGATTACGCGGAATGGCGCTCGGATGCGCGATGGGCCGACTGCTGATCGAGTTGCTCCGGCTTCGTGCAGATTTTTCGCCCCGCGCGCATTTGCTGAACCAACCAGTCCCGCCCTCCTCATTCGAAAATGGCATCAACTCCCTCCTCCATTTTTTTTGCTGCCTCAAGTGTGGAATAAGTCTTGGGAACAACTTTTACAAGTCGTACCTTGCAAATCAAGGCGTTTCTTCATTTCTGCGAATGCTGGTACTTGTTTAAAGACGATGCGTATATAATTTTAAATCCTTGCTTCTCGACCCATACACAGTATATGTAAGGCATTTGTCAGGTGGTGTATGGGACGACCTGTAAAGGAAAACATGATTTTTTTTTAGTTGCATTTGGACTTGTCTGTTCTTGACTTTAGTTTAAACCAACGGAATCAGATGATTTTGTTTTCAATATGATGCATTTTGAAGGCGTGATGAAATGCTGCCTGCAATTGACATTGAGTGGGGTTGAAGCTTGAAAGGTACGGAAGGCTCTGCACAGGTCGAATGAGGATAGGTGATGCTTGGACGTACAGTATCTTGAAATTAGAACAATCGTTTGAATTCAGAATCTGGTCGGCCGGGTAAAACCAGTGAATTACTGCGAGAAATATACAGTATGTCATTACTCAAAAATGTGCTACAATGTTTTTAGACTTACCAGGCAGTAATGTACAGTATTTCTTTGTTCAAGAGTGGTTCTTGTAGTTACAGTATTTTCGAGGCCAGAAGGTACTGAGCAAATGATATGAAAGATTATTCGTGATTCCGGGAAATCTTAAGGTTCACCTGCCAGGTGCCCATGCGCCACCACGGGTTAGCGTGCCACTGATCGAAAAATCTTCATCTGAATTGCTGAATCTAAAAATTGTATTGTGAGAAACCCTTATACTGTACACCTGCAAATGGTTGAACACGGCTTATCGCAGTTGCTTTACAAGCGTTTTGTGCTGATAAATCGGATAACTTCCTCTTCTGTAAGTGTTTTGAGATTTTGGAGTCGATTCGATGTCAGAAAAGTAGATCGTTCATCCGCAAACCTTCGTGTAGCCATTTTCAGGCATTAAGGAAGTTTCAAGGAAGCCTTCTTAGAAGGTTGAAATATGCTCATGATATCCACTTCCAAGTGACCTTTTCGCACCAAAGACATGCTCCACTGATGAAATGCATACATTTTCAGGCGGGTGACGAAAGCAAATTTACAAACGTTCAAACGGACGAAAGCAATTCACATGCATAATCAAAAGATGGCTTTTCGATATTTTTTTTGGGCGATCAAAACTTCGGTTTTTTGGGCTCGCGCTCTTCCTCGCGAGCATGGAAGTCGATTTTTTGGTACATTTTTCAAATCCGTGGTTATCATCCCAACACCTCCGAAGGGCAAGTGGGATGACTAGGAAAACTTCTGAACGAATCACACATTTATGTTTTTGCTGTACAGTATCTTGACATCCTAGATCGGATCTCGGCAGCGAACTATTCAAGGATTTTTTTTGTTTTTTCCGTCGGGGTGTCGGGATGTATACTGTACATAAATGTTTTTTACAACTTTCTTCATTCTTATTTCCGCGACGCCTGATGAGGGATGGCAATTATCAGGTTTTTCTGTTGAGTGCCCTTGGTGGAATCCCTACAAAAGTTTCTTATCTTTTCCCCGCTGCCGAAACAAAAGTGTTCACAGGTTAATTTATATTTCTCTTTCTGCTGTGGCAAAATGCTGTGTCATGTAGTTTCTGTGTCAGGGCTGGAACGCGGCGCAACAGACATTATATATATTTTTCGTCTGTGCGATATTCCATCTGACTTCGTCATGCACGAATTTTATTTCTCTTTGCACCATGGATGCAATACATAATTCCTTATATCCTGAATTCTGTCTTTTTCAACTAGTCTTGCTGGTTTTAGTCGTTAATGCAAATTTACAGTACTGTACAGTACTTCGGATAGATCTCACCGGATTCCGTGAGTCATGAAAGTCTGATAGACATCGAGTACGAATTCAATGGCGTCATGAACTGGAAAGTTCTAGTGGATCCGGATGCAGATGCCAAATTCGCGAGCTTCAGATGCATGTAGGTTTCTGGAATCAGTCTGATGACTTAGTATTCCTTAGTCACTTCAGTTCGGTTTTAATTACAATTTTAAATTCATCGATAAAGCAGTGCAAATTAAAAAAATACGCTTTTAAAATTTGCCTCGCGATAATTCCGTTTTTTTGGCGAATCACTACGCACCGTACATTTGTCAGGGGATTATAAAACTCCATTTTCCAATACAATCCTGTCTGAAACTTTTGAGTCAAAATGCCCCCTGAATGCGTGAGATCTCATTGGGAGGGACTGAACGCGAAGTGAAATGCAGTACCGTGGTACTTGTGGTTCAGAAACAGGCAGTTGGCAACGAATGCAACCGTTCAGATAGCAACAGTCCTGAGTAGTGTGGGTGTGCGACGGCTGTGGAGCAAAACCGAAAGCCATGATTCGATGCGAGACACGTCACAGCACATGCGTACCAGCAGGAAACTCCTTCATGAAAGGATTGTCCTTGGCCGTGCCATCAGTACAGAGACGCACTCTTAATGACCGTCACGGTTCGGCAATGAAAGTAGGCGTACGATAGAAAATACAATCCAACAGTCTGTGAAAGCTATGAGCGTTTTTCACGGCTCCCTTCGGGGTTCCGCTTGTAATTTATGCATTGCGGGGTTCCAGGGGAGCCCCTGCGTGTTTGAGGAGAATCTTATATCCGGAGAGAGGATCTAAACGGATCCGACCGTTTTGCTTCGGCAGCTTTTGCATCTGCCGTTTGTGGATTTTCTCTTCCCATCTGTCCGGGGTCCCGTTTATTATCGACGGGGGGATGTTACGCGTGTCGGTGCTCGTCGACTGCTGGCTGGGTTCAGGCGGATGGCCGACTTGTTGGGCGAAGTGCGAGGTAGATACCATGGACTTCGCGCCCTGGCCACGGGGTTATGAGCTCCGGCCGGCCAGCGTTTATGTGCCTAGGGTTTTTATTCGACACGCTCGCCGTCTCGACGAAGCATCAGAGGTCGACGCCAGACGGGACGCTTCATTTTTACGTATTCCGGCCAGACAGAGCCGTATCGCGTCCAGGCGGAGGCAGGAAAAAAAAAGTGGCGGGAATGGAACCGAGATAAAGGAGTCATGTGTTCCGGAGGGGGCTGAGTGTTGCACCTGAAGAGAGTTGCCAAGCGAGGAGGCAACAAAGTTTCTGGCCTCTGGCATCCCCACACACCTGAATCGATATGGGCAATGAAAAGACTGGCCGCGCCACCGGTCATTCGCTGGCGCGCCGGCGGATGACGCACCGGATTCCAGCATATCAATCGAATTACAGGATGCGCCGACTGGCCATTGTTATTTTTCTCCGTATTAGCAAGCATTTTTTTTCTACGATATTGTCGCAATTATGTGGACGTTAATATGAAGGCGATGAACTGATGTAGTACCAATAAATGACCAGCGACTCTCGCGAAGCGTGCAGACGAATATCGCGCCTCGGATCCAGACAAGCGGGCCGGTCTGTCTGGACAAAGGGGTTTTCAATGACTCACGAAAATAGAGCACGGCGCAGACGAAGTAAACAAAAGGCCGACGAAATCCCAGACGATCCCAGGTGTAACCCTTGCGGGTGCTCGCGCCGGGCATAAAAGCATCATGCGCGAGAAATGTCTGCAATGCTTCGTTAATTATTCACCGGGATACAGTATGCCTTAGTTCGCCCCGCTTCCTCTGCACCGGTGCGAAGTGGCTGGGCAACGACTGCAGACGTCTGGGTTGCATTCGACGAAGGCTTGGCGTGCTTCCGGGATTAATTTTCTTCTCATCTGTGAACTAAGACATCATTACACGTTCCTCTTGCGATTAGGCCACAGTAGACGGCTGAGGCATTCTTCAACTCCAGAGGAAGCATTTTTTAGTTTTTCCTCCCGAAAATGCAATTCTTGATGCTGATGATTTCTTGCATTTGTATGGACTCCGATTTTCTACTGAGCTATTTCAGCAGCGAAGTATTAAACGCACGGTTTTGCATTCAAATAAATTACTTTTCTGCTGGACCTATAAATAAGAACGAAGTTTTCGCACGTCCGAGAGTATCAATCTTCATTTGAAAGTAGATGAATCACACTGTGAAACAGTAGAATGATTTTAAAATTTTTTCCTGAAGATATACAGTTTTCAATGTTTCTAATTGAAGTTTGTTAAATTGCCTTAACTCGTAACGACTTCCAATATTGTGGTTCTGGTAATCTAGTTTATAATCACAGACATTTTAGGGAAACTACCTCAGCAATATTCAATTTCAGACGAAGTAGCATTATTATTTTTTCGATATGTAGATTCTGAAGTCCGCTTTCCAGGTTTTAAAAACCTCTAAATTATGTGTCAGTAGCCTGCCATACCATATTATTTTCGCTGTTCAGAGCGATTTTTCAGACTTATCTGAGTATTTCGAAAAGTTCTACGATCGGTATGCAAGGATGGCGAAGAGAAGAAGCACGAACACCTGGCTTAACAAAAAAATGACAGCGAACACACTCAGGAAGAATTGAAACAATGTTTAGCAGCATCGACAAATGGAACAGCTTCAATTCAGTAACTTTTCTATTACGATGTCCTTAATTCGAATCAGGATCCACTATCCAAAGCAGACATCAATGGCAGCGCAAGTTCATCGTGCGGAAATGCATTATGTTAGGTGTCAGTTATTTGGGTTAAGATGAATCGAATGGGGTGGGTGTATGTGGTTTCTTCGGATGAAAGACCAAGGAAACCCCCCCAAGAGTTTTTTTTTTTTTTCAGCTATCCACTCCGCCACATTTTTGTGCATGTGTTTCCGTCTTACGATATTTCTAGATATGTCTCGGACTCTCCAAGCATTCGGCTGGGGTCGCAGCACGGCGTCAGGGCCAAGACTGATCCTGTCACGAGGCAGAGACGACCCCCGGAAAAGTACTGGAATGCCTTTACTCTACGCCTCCACAGGCTTTACCCCGGATGTCTCGGATCGAGCTCTCACCCCCCGGGCCTGGTAGAATTCCCTGGGGTTTTCCGAGAGTTCCCGTCGCCTGGTTCCGCTGTCTCGTTTGTCCCACTCGATCCTGCGCATTTTCTCCTTCTGTGCACTTCCGCCATTTCCGGTGCGGATTTCGGGTCCTTTGTCAGGTGAGCGCGAGATTTAGAACTGCCATGGTGCTTCATACAATGCACCTAATTTATTTCAAGTGGCGATTCGGTTCGTGGAGCATTCGTTGTATGGGACACTCCACCGCACGGTACATTCGTACAGAGGAAAAACATGGTACTGTACTGTAATGCGTTTTAACTAGAATAAGACAAAAACGATAAAAATCGAAAGTAGAAGCTTAAGATGACGTATCATTCACCGTACTGAAGTATGTGAGTGGATCTCATGTTGTCCAAATCAATATAACCTCCAACCGCATTCCGTCAATGATCATCACACGGAAGTCCTCAAAAACACGCAAGATAAACGCAGCGAAGCACTCAAGATCAAATAAATATAACTGCGATTTCAATCAACGAAAAATGTTCACAAGCGAAGAACAGTTATAAGGGACGCTATTTTTTGCGTAATTTTTTTTTGTTGAAACGTGTCATCATTGTACAGTATGTAAGTCGTCACAGCCACTTCATTCATTCATCATCCTTCTACGATTGGTCTGAAAATTATATACTGAACAAAAGTTTCATCAAACTCTCAATGATCTCATACCATGAAGTGTATGTTCCTTGCTCGCATATTACCTTGATCTGAATTCCCTCTGGCCGATGCATTATACAATTCAATGCATTGTGTTTTTTTTTGTGCTCTCGCTGTGAGATGTAAGTATATAATATTGAATATTTTAAAATAAATTTCCATCGATCAAAAATATTTTAACTGTATTTCCTCTTGTCAACAACTGCTACAAAATGTCGACAACTCTACGTGCTCAATCGCGGACTAGCAAATAAATTCAGTTGAATCTACGATTATCCGGTCAAATGTTCGAGTTTGCCAATCTTTGAGCTTTGGTGTTCTAAAACTGATGTAATTGAGAGGACTTACTCTTTGTGTCAATCTACTCGAATAAAGGGATTGTGTGCACTAATCACTGGGTGTCCTTGCCCGGATAATTAAATACTAGGATCGTAATCACTCAATTAAATTGTATTCCACTATGATCTCACGTCCTGACGTGATATCGCCAATATCTCCAGAAATCCCCGAGAATAACACATTCCCAAAATGGTGAATGTTTCCACCGAAAGTTCTTGAAATAAAAATGGAGTGAAACTTATTCAGATAACCTTCGCAATTGCTTCCGAATTCTGCCAGCTGTTCTCGGGAAGCATTACTTTTTAATGATTTTACCCGTGCATGAGCTCAACTGATTGTTTCAGCACTAAAAATGTTTGAAGCGTTCCGAAGATTTACCATCCGTCGATTTTCATGAAACCTTGTCTCACCGTTTTCGCTTCATCGTCAATATTTACGGTGAAAACTACGATACGTATAGTGTTCCTGAATAATTTGAAGCCCTTGCTGAGCTCAAGAATGTAAGACCCGAGAACACGTTCGACCCTGATCCTCAGTCTCTATTTGATCCCTAAGTAACCCGAGCAGTTCAAAAGAACCTAAGGAACGATACAGGATTAGTGAACACGTTGCGCGCATGTGCTGGAGAACTCGTTAGCGTCGGGTGAGGAAACCAGGATTTTGGGTTGCGTGCTATTTTATCGTTGGTAGAAAGTGCCAGGTTCGAAGACGAAATGTCGGCTCTTTGTCTGAGTTCTACCCGGGTTTCCAGTGTGAGAAGAGGTCAGAGAAACACCCCGATCGCATTATGCGCCGTGGGTCGTTGTAAAACCAGCTTTATCATTTCCTCAGAAAGGTTTATTATGCATCAACTTTCAATTTTGTACTGTAATTCAGGCTAATTAAGATAAACAAGCTGTGCACAAAAAAAAAACGGATAAAATGATTCAACTGATGAATTATTTCGAAAGAAAATTAGCTGAACAACGAAGGTTACTGCCGGAAACGTTCATGAAGGCATTCGGGGATTGTTGACTTTTGCATTTGTCCTGGACAAACGTGACTGTTCGTCAGAAACATTTTTAATGACCAATTAAAAGCAAATTCGAGTGGTGTCTACCAACACCTTTAAATCGTTATGTTTACGTTTTTTTATCAGTAACATACAGATGCTCAGATGCCTTCAACAGCCAAGAAGTTTATAAACACATTTGTAGAACTAATAACGGAAATTCGGCGCAAAAAAGTACACAAGAATGGCCGTAGATCATGTTCCCTAGAACGTTCACTCACAGTGACCCAACGATGATATGTTGAAATGTTTTTTAGAATTTTCTTCGGGGTAAATATTCCCAAGAAGTTTGTTTTGAATTTTTTATTCCAGTTCATTATTAATAAACGTTTTCTACGATGGGCATTTGTTATCCAGGGACCGGCTGTGCAGCGGGGCATCGATCATGTGTCAAACTTAATTTGTTCCGAAAAGTGGTTTGTCAAATCCCTAATATCTTGCTGGGAAGTATATTCTGTACGTGCAGGGGAGTATTAATTGAATCAAATCCTGAAAACTTTAATGACATAGTTTTCCAACTTAAACCAGTTCTCGCAAAGATCAATCTTCTCCTCACTTCAACTCACATCATTAAAAGAAGAGCAAAGTTTTGCAAGAGGCACAGAAAAGTAGAACCAGCAAGAATCAACGTGGCATATTAATGTACGCTCATACGTAAGTGAAGTTCGAATTTTAATGCTAATAAGAAGATATATTGTTCTATGATGACATTTTATTCATTTTGGGCCGGTGTGTAATTCTTTTTTTAAAGGGGTTCATTCTGGCTGTATGCGATTTGTATTAGAGGGTTCACAACGTTAATAAGAGGTGAGGTGTTATGAATGGGCTTTTTGCTCTTCGATGAGGCGTTTCATGTTTCGAGTGCCGCTGAATTCAGACAATGGTGCTCCCAGAATCAATTCTTATTCATTATGAGAAGCCCGAAATTCATGCTGGGAAGTCTTCTACTGACATCTACCAAATATCACGGGAATCACAGCATTTTGTTCAACCTCTGCAGTCGTTCTATATACAGTACATTGCTGCTGGATGCTCTGTCCCCCAGAAAAAGCCCTTAGTAATCTACTGAGAAATATTAATATTTTTCGATTCTCGTGTAAAAAAAAAAAAAAGACATGCTCTTTTCCAATCTGAAACGTGATTCCGAGGAAAGATCCTGAATATGTTGAGCACGGCAAGATGACAAAACACTTTCCTGTGCCTTAGAATCTTCTCTTTTTCTTGAGATTTTTTGTTGATCTGCCTCAAAGATTCCGGAGAGGAATACTTTCGACCTCCCACACTTGGAAAACATTTTAACGCTAACTCAAGACTTTTCTCTTTTTTTAATGCTTCAAATATAGCCTTGAAGTACGAGAAATGGCACTTCGTCGCAAAAAAAAGATTATTCTTATTCTTTAGCATGTACGCATGAGAGGGATTGATATTTTATCATTTCGCAATCAAGTCAGCTCCTATTTGAGACATTCTAAGGAGAATGCAAATTTGCGCTCATGTCCTCTGCACGTGAAATCGAAAAATTAGGCTGTACTTTCTTGTGAAGAATGGGAAATGATCTCTTCTTATCGCACAGGGAGTGCTGAAACGAAATAAATTGTAAGTGGCATTGAAAATGCCATACCAAGGCATGTACCCAATATTCGTTGAATGCTAACGAAAATTTTGGCTCCGTTGGAAAAAGCGGCGTAACGTACTATCTCGAAATCGTGCCAAATGGGTTGCGAAAGAAATGACCTGACGGAATGTTCGCATTAACAATTGCATTCAACGACGCTTGTCGATACGGGAGGCTGATCGTGGGCTAGAATTAAATTGCTACTGATTACGCTCACTAACTTTTGGAAAGTGTTTTTGCTGTCGTGAAAAGATACTATCGAATGGTAACAGTGCAATTGGTTCTGGCTGATTCTTTTCCTCGACGTCATTGTCTTTTAAGAATATTGCCCGACTCACAGCACGGATAAATACGTTTTCGGGGATTAAAAAAAAAATTCTACTTATCCAAAATGTGAACGTTGACGAGCTGAATTCACCTTGAAACAACATTCCTGTTGAATTGCTTATGTGTGTTGATTTCATATTTAAAGAATGTCATAGCATAGTTCCGAAATAACAGTCATATTGAAATAACCCAAGCATGGGACAGTTTTATTTATGCTTACAGGAATGTCAATTTTGCGTTCAGTACTTCGAAACGGTATTGTACTTGTGGCATTAAATTGTACCATAAAAAAACCTGTCGTGTCGTCCCCCGAACTGCAAAGGAATTTCGATTATCTTAGCCGATGGCTGGATACCTTCATCCACAAAATAAGGATAAACCAGTCGTCCATAAGTCATTAATGCCGAAATTGGCGAGATTTTATTCGAGACAGATCTGGTTCATGCTGAATAGAGCTGATGCGTTGCATGCGATTAATAAAACGTAAACTGGGGAAACATCTGGAATCAGGAAAAGTTAAGTTTCGTAACCCGCATGCTGCAAAGGCTGTAAATTCGCCACATGACACGTGGATCTCAAGGACACGGTTCAGCTGAGTAACTGCAAATCAACACAAGGATTGTCGAAATTCGACCGTAACTCAGCTTCAAGAACATTTCGGAAATTTTCATTAACTATAGGATAACCAGTAACCAGCTTATCAACAAATCTGATGCTTGGAACATTTCCAAACTTCATGTGACTTCGCCTTTTATGAGATTCTACTTGCGCAGGTTTTGTTCGAATAGATTTAGTCGAGTACTGATAGTTTACTTTTTGAAAACTTGCTGGAGGATTTTTTCAACAGTATCTTTCGAGCTTGTGCAACCATGGGTGCCTATTTTCCTCATGAAATTCTCTTCCTTATGCGAAAAATCGCATTCGTGTGCTGCGTATTGCACCACGAAAATTCGCTCAACGCCTTCCGGGAAGTTAAAAATGGATTTCGCCAATAGTACGCACTTCCGGCGTATTCCTTCACTTCGACTCATGGAGACTAGTTCGAATCTCCACAAATTACGGTCACGGATTCTCTTATGATTACACGCACTGAAGATTGACTGTAAGAAGACGAACAATTAAGCAGGCTGGTTTTAGGAGCCAAATCTATTTAGAGAAGCGCGTGGGACGCTTTAGTGGCAAGGCAACCCCGCGGTGACGTCACTCTCCGAAAGCCGCATTCGTTCGAAGGTACTTCCCAGTACTCATGACTCAGGTTCCTGCATTCCAGCAGTCGTTGGTACACTTCCAGGAGAATGGAAGAGACGGAAGAACGGCTCGTGAATTTGTCTGTGAGTAGCGTCATTCTCGCGGTCAGGAATTTTCTGCGTATTTTTATATGAGGACTAGAGGTTATACTGCTGAATCAGAGAAAGCGTATTGCTCAGACTCAAAAGCCTGAGATGATATTGTCGGAAAAGACATTTTTCAGGAGAGTGAATTCAGTGAATGAATTCAGGTGAGTCGTTTTTGAACAAGCTTCTAGCTAACTCTTGGGACACGGTTTGTTAAATCGTGGTTCATTCCTGTTGCGGTAAACATGATGTGAACATGGCTGTCAGACACCGACCAGTTACACAACAACTAGTGATGCAGCGAAAATATTTCATTTTTTAAATCAATAATTAATAACGCATTGTGATTACATATCTCAAGCCAAAGGGCGGTTTTATCTGGATTTTTAAAAATTTTGATCTTCTACAGGTTAATATTATATTTTTCCCTAACCTCTTCGAAGCTGCGCAAATTTTTAGCAACAGGAATCATGAAGTAAATATTCATGCTCGAAATGTTTTGCAAATTTCCCATAGGATAATTTTGGGTTACAGGACGTTTACTGCCAGAAGAAAAATAAAAATACTATTTTTGAGCCATCTTGTTTTTATATGAAGTAAAGCCGTAACTGTTTCGGGAATGAGACCACATAATAAAAACCGAGTTTTTTTCAAAAAATATGTTTGAATCCAACGTCTGGATACAAATACATTTTCAAGATAACAGACTGATATACAGTATAGTGTATTCGAAGGTAACTTTTAATTACTGCGCAATTCTACCATGAATCTCGTGAAGTTCTTTCTTTTAAAAATGTTAAAGAGGAGTGTTGTGATCCTAGCGTAAATATTTTGAAAATTTAGACTTGGTCATTTCAAACTACTGCAACCCTGAAAATAATACTGAGTCGAAAACTTCACACGTGTCCTTCTGTATTTTTGCTGGCAACACGAAAGCCTTCGCAATGAGATTGAATTTACCCGAGGTTTCACTCATACAAGCGCTATTTCACGAGAGAAAAAAGAAAATTTTCTCATCGTGAAATCAACGTACAGTACTCGTGTAAGAGTTATCAGGCAAGGTACTAGTACAGTACAATATATCATTATATTTTTCATCCTGTGAAAATTATCTGTGCCATTCACAGACATACTCACTTTTTGCATCATAATAAGACATCCAATTCGATTCAATGAATGGTTCGTTGCCAGAGACGTATTTAACTCTGCCTAAGAATCGATTCACTAATGTATATCCCGGATCACATTTGGCAGCACTTCAGCTCCTCCATTCGAACCAGTCTTCTCCTGACCCATCTTCACATAACTTAGGCTCTTCGAGCTTACTAGCTCTTGTTACTACATAGTGCACACGAAGAAAAAGCACGAAGAGAACGCAAGAACAAAGAGAAAGGAAAAAAAAACAGTGCAACGGTTTGGAACCATGAAAATTGGATTTGAAGGGTTGCAGGGTTTCACCTCGTGGTTATCATTTTTATGTTCGTGGGGAAAGCGCAGTTAGATGTTTATTTCGCAGTGCTTCTGTATTACCAAAAATCGAGCCAGGAACAGACAGAAAAACGTCTGCGAAATTTTACAGTTGTCTGCACACTAGAGCGAAATACAATTACAAAGAGGAAAACTTCTGCCTAGCTTTCTACAGAATATCTAGCATTCGATTCACATGAAGAAAAAGAACCCGAGAACTGCATTAGAAAATTGCAGATATATTGTACCACCCCACCTGGTGAAGGGATTGGTGTGTACATCAAAGCGGTACCGTGTTCTCTTTGAATGCAAGCCAAATTCTTGTAATATTGAATAAAATACGCATCTTTCATGGATAGGGTTGGGACTGCACTTCAGAAAAAATTATGATGGATGAATTCCCTGCTTGGATGGACAAAGAATCTAAACATGACTGAGCGTTTGCTGCTCCACGTGACGTGGCCGATCACCCGACATGAGACCATCCAGTTTAGTGGCCGCGGGGGTACCCGACGAGACGACCGGTCGTGCCGGGATCGTCCGCAGGGGAGGTTAGCGTGGGTTTCGAACCCAGACGGGCAACCGGTCCTAGGGTTCCGTCCTTGGCTCGACGTCCGACGTCGGCTTTGACCAGACAGTAGTCGCGGTCAGTGACCCCGAGAATGTTACCCTTCAACACCCAGTCTCATGAATCCCCAGCAACAGAATGAGCTTCACCCAAAAGCCTCTTATTCAGAAGAAAGATCTCGGCTTGCTGGACAGCAGTACCCAAAAAGCTAATGGACGGGAAGACCTATCTTTTTTCATTTACCCAAAATGTCTGCCGCGCTTCCGATAACGAGGTGGATTTATACTCATTTTTATCGGATCGCACGGCGCAAGGAGATTCCAAGCGACGACGGTGATAGAGCGACATCTAGGATAAAGATTCAAAACAAACCCTTTTGTCTTTTAAATATTATAAAGGTGTCGCTATTAATTCAATCTTCGTCAACTATACTTATATTCGCATACAAATTATTTTTTTTTATTTCAAACGGAATCCGCACCAAGGCAGATCTATAATCAATAAATGTAGGCACAATATGAAATATGGCCACTCTTTCCTAGTCAGCTTGAAGGTATACTGCATATTGAGCGCTGTATTGCTGTTCAAATCTTTCCACGAAGTTCGTCTTGAGATTTCTGTATCTCCGAACGTCAAGGTTGTGCTACAGCCAATATATTGGTTTAATTTTCTGCGAACTTGCCAAATCGTTCAACATTGATGCAAAAAGTTTTTCAAAGTTATGGATTAACGGCATTCATTCACACTCGAATCACTTTACCTCAAGTCACGAACTTCTTCTGTTAATTTCCTGATTCCAGCGCTCATTATTTAGATTTGAACATCTCAAAAAGGCCTTTTAGCTTATCATTGATGCTCGTGATAATGTGATCATTAACCCAGTGGAATGGTATTTCTAAATCTTCTTTAGACTTGAGGCTAGAGAACATAAATTCACCAATACTAATACTGTACATTAAGACTGTCAAATTAGCGACGTGTATCCGTATCAGATGGAATTTTTTCTCAAATTTTCCTGAATTGATGCTCTTTCATACTCGACAAAAAGTTATTCACGTTGATCATGTTTATGTTACCCAATGCTCCAAAAATATGTATTGCATTTTTGTGAACGGTGAACTTCGTCTTCCAAATCATTTAAAATAAAGTAAAAAACTTTCCGGAGAATTGCATTCCATCCAGTAAATTTGGAGTAAAATGCATCCTAGATCTGTGAAACGCTCTAAATTCCGTAAATATTTGCGTGCTTCGCCAAACGTAGCCTTCGAGACTGACCCAACCATCGAACCATATGGATTGCGCATTTTTGTGTGGAACAGAATAGAAGGGTTATCCCCCTCCCCCATGTGAACTTCACCAGATGTTCTGTATATACCGGTAGTTAAATACTTGGGATCCTTAGTCGGAAAAGGAAAGGCAATTAGTTTGAAAAATTAATTTAAAATTCCGCCTATTTAAATCGTTTTGCTAAATTTAGCCATCGAGATTCAACGCTAACATAACTATCCCCATTCATGAACTACGAGTCGGCCTTTTTTTTGTACCAGCAAGCAATTTTTTCACTATTACTCTTTTACGAGAGTTTCTCAAGTTTTTTACTCGGAAAGTGAAACAAATCTTGCAGCCATTTTTAAAAATTCAGATAAATTACTTGTTCAATTCCAGCGACAATTCCGCCTACTAAATTGTGGCTGACAAATAATTTTTTGAGCGTCCAAAACATGAAATTTCTTTTCTCGAGTGACAATTGTAGGATTCCTAGTCCATAATTTGGACACCATTACTTGATTTTTTTTTCAAATATTCACCACGTCTTGCTTTAATTTTTGGGTATAGCAGTGGAGCCAGTTCGGAAATGTTTGGGGAGCCTTTTGGTCTCCGTGGAGCCCAGCTTGGGAACCTGTACCCTATCGCAACTTCCTGATCCTGACACAGACATTGAATTCTATAATTCAAAGCACCCTTCTGAAGCGGGATATACTGGGTCCGAAGATAAGCTATTATTCCCTATTGACCGTTAAGTGTTCGTCCTTCGATTCCTGGTGAACTTCCAATTTTCGAGTGAAGCGTCTATAGCTTAAGTGGACAGGTGAGATAATTCCGTATTCAACGCGGAACAGGTTCTCTCGATGGAAACCAAATCCGGAAAAATGCTCCGTAGAAGGATTCCTCCGTCACTTCCTCATGTGCTTCGTAAATGAGGGCAAAGATAGCATCAGTTGTCTATCCGCGTGTTGAAATCCTTTTTTTGTCTCATCCGGACGCACAAAAGTAGTATTCCGGAACTGGGGAAAGCAGAGGACAGGAAGTCCCTCGTGAAACTCGCACGATTCTTCGTCGGACATGAAAGAAAGTAAACAGCATAGGGGAAAGGAATTTATCGCACAGATATCCGACTCCGCACAGTACAGCACTTGCTTTTGCGCTTGGATTTCGTCTTTTTGTTCTTTGTTGCAGGTGGGAACCGGCTGCTCGCAATGTTATGCAGATTCCTGCTCGGGACAAGGGACCAGCACGTAATGTTGCGAACTGTGATCCCATTGTTTACTTATGCGCCGCATTTGAATCGACTACTGGGCAGTGGTTCAGAACCGGGACAACCGCAACTTCAACCGCCAACGCTTTCGACATTGTTCCTGTTTCTACGGACATGCTGGATGTTATTTCATCCTATCATTCTGAAGCATGAATACCCTTTTTTTTGGCGAATGACGACGCGAAGGTCGTGCTTTCCCACGCGATCGCAGCACGTTTTATTTTACATAAAGCTTGAAACTCCGCTGATAAGCAGAGCAGCTTTTCTCGTAGCTTGATTCTATTTTCGACACAGTTTCGGAAAGTTCAGGCTAATTTTCCTGCTTCGTAACGCGCAATAATGTGCAGAAATACGATAATTACGAACCGGTTTCTTCATCTTGATAATTCCCATACCGGCGGTCCGGGTACAATGGGCAAATGGTCAGTTAGTTCGGGAAGTTTTTGCAAGTATTGTTAAGAGCCTCTTTGGGTTCGAGACCAGAAGGAGCTTAAATACCTAAAAGTGCGGAGTGGATTTCGGAACCCGAGAGTCTGTTTCCCGCTCCCTGAGACCATAACTAGTGAGAATGTTTGAGGAGGATCACTGGGTATGGTTCTCAGGCATGGGCAGCTGACCGCCGACGTTGGTTTCCCTTCCTCGTGTTCGTGAAAAGAAAAAGGAAATATGTTTCTGCTGAAAGAGTCAATAAAGCGAGATTCTTCCGACAATTTTGAGTTTCATTTTCGATCACTTCTGAGACGTGTGTAGCATTCGTGGACTGTGCTTCGGAGGTGAGCGCATTTTATTTGAATGTGTATCCGGTCTCCCACTCGAAAAAGTTCCCGGCGCCTCTTCAGAACCACGACTTAATCAGAAATCCTTCTTACAATCTCTTCATCGCGGACGTGTTATTAGTACTTTTCATTTACCACATCTTCGCCTTACTTAAAGATTGGTGTGTATTCCGACGGCTATACAGGCCTCATGTGACCGTGTGCTGCATGTCCCGCGATGACCCGAGGAAGTAAAAGTTGATGGGCCTTAAGGAATTGTGGTACGTCAAAAAAAACGACAAAAACCGGCGCATTTTCCACAACACAAACCGCGTGTAAGGTGACGAATGCGATGCATAGTGCACTACATCATAACTTATAACGACCCATTGCATTTTAATTGTGAGTTGAAGGCTTTCTGAGATAATTGATCAAATGTCGCACAATTTACAGTTCATTCACTTGAGTATATCACATGCCGATATTTCAGCTAAGTTCGTGTAACTGCAATCGTGGAAGGGCGCACTTTTCAAGCAAGATTTGTGAATGAAGTATTGAGTCGAACTCAACATATATGGGCAATTCTTGTAGGAGATTGGTAAATTTAATAAGTAACTCAAATTTTTTTTCATGAAACTGCGAAAAACTGGAAAGTACGAAGATAAGCTAGAATTAGTGTTTCCCAACCTTTTTTGGACCGCGGATCAGCTAATTCACCAAACAAAAAAATCAGCAAACCAATAAATTCCTCAAAATTTTTCTGTGGACCAGCAAAGTTTCATAAATTTTTTGCAGGCCAAAAAAAAGCTTCGTTTGGAAGAGTTTATGGTAGGTATTCAAGAAGTTCCTGCTTTTTTTGTAAAAAATTAAACACCAATGAAGCGATTATGTAGGGAAATGTCTTCCAACAATTAAAATAGTGGGCATGAAGAAAGGTTTCTAAGGATGAAAAATTAAAATAAATTATTTCAGCATGCAAAAATTTGTCTGAAGAGTGGGGAGAAAAGCCACCCTTTACTTTTTCATCATATAATTTCAACTCTGCTATTGCCTTAGCAAAATTTTGGATAAAGATAAGACTTCATTGCTATATTTGATAAATTCATTAGGTTGCAAAAAATTTCCCGCGGACCGGCAAAAATCTTCTGCGGACTGGCGCCAGTCCGCGGACCACGGGTACTGGGGGACACTCAACTGAATCATTCCTTACGGGATATCCTTCGTTGCAGATTACCGTCATTGTAAAACATGTTTTCAATCGAACTGTGCTGAAAATTTTAAGCCATACAGGAGCTTTGTGTTGTGTTCAATGGCACATCACGCCTACTTAAACGCCCATTGTCGTGAAAGCACGCTTTCATCATGTGCCAAATATTTGTCCGGATGATAGATTGAATGCAGAGTATAAGAAACATGCTTCAACCTTAGCTTTATGGTCAGCGAAGTCATTTTACTTTCAAAACAACTTCGTGAGATACTATGAAGCAACTCTTTTGTTAGCTGTTATTTTCGATCTGAGAGAAAAGCACTTACAAGCTTTGAAGGTCTTGGAAAATAGTTTCTCTGCTCGAGAGAATTTTTAACATCTTGGGTCATTCACAAAGAAAAACGCATGCATAAACGTGATCACACGAATCGGTCTATTCAAAATTCTGAAGAATGCAATAGGAAGTTACTTTTGCCTACTTACCGCATTATTCATTTATTCTTGAGCATCAGCAGGAATTATTTTTACCCAGTATGCGCAGATTTTATTGTTGGAAGTCCTTTTACTTCCAGAACAACTTCGGTAGACACCATGAACCAACTCTTTGGTTAGGATCGGTTATTCGCGATCTCAAGAGAAAAGCACTTGAAAGTTTTGAAGGTTTTGGAAAATAGTTTCTCTGCCCGAGAGAATTTTTAAAATTCTCTTGATTATTAAAAAAAGAAAAAAAGAAACGCACGCATAAACCTGCTCACAGGCATCAGTCTAATATTCACAATATACTAGAGCAATGTTCCCCAACATTTTTTGCTTGCGGACCGGCAAATTTTATTAAAATCTTTTGCGGACCAGCAAATTGTCGTCAAATTTTCTGAGGACCGGAGAAGTTCCATACAATTCTCGAAGACCAGGAAATTTCTTTAGATACCTGCCATAATAAAATCCTCAAAACAAAACTTGCATTGAAAACATTTAGTAAAGAATCGGTAATGCTATACATTGGAGTTTCTCGAAGAAGAAAAATACTGCGTAAAGCTGAGCTTCGAGGAAGGTTTCTCAAATTTAAAACTGAAAGTAATGTATTTCAGACAGGTGAAGACATGCCTGAATTGTAAAATGTAATAAGAAGAAAAGCTAATTCAGTTTTTCTCACATAATTTCTACTGCAATTTTCCCCCGAAATTTTGAATAATTAAAGATAACAGGCTTCATTAATACCTTCTACAAATTCATCATGCCAAAGACATTTTCACGCGGACCGACAAAAAACTTGCGCGGGTTGGGGATCACTGTACTAGAGAATAATGCGATGCGAAGTCACTTCTGCCTTCATACTTCCCACATTATTCAGTTATCTTTAGCATCGGCATTTATCATTTCTAACCAGTTGGCACAGATTCGTCCGTGACGCTGAAGTTCAGATTAATTGAGTCACGCTGGGGACGCGAGGACCTATGTATGTTCATCCCATTTCCGGTAAGTACTTCGTTCCAGGAGTATATTCATTGGGCCCGAAAAGCTCTTCAGGTTTCGAAGGTCCTCTTCTACGGTAACCATTAGTCGCTGTCATGACAGGTACCCAAACCCTTTCCGAGGACTGAAAGGCTATTCATCTGACTAAGTCAAATGACCGTGCATGCTATGACTTGGACTTCCTCCGGCGGAGCTGGCTTCCGCGAGGAAACACTGCTTATTGTGGAATCACGAGAGGAAACGAAGACTCGCTTCTTGTCGAACAATACAGGTCCACTCGCTTCTATAATAACCTTCGATCCTTGTGTGGAGATACTTGCCAGATGAATACGGCTGAAGGTTTTTCCACTCTTCACAGCAAGTGGACTTGCATCGTTTCGTTTCGCCCCGCGAAAGCGACATTGTTAACGATCTTCGATGAAAGATACCGTCTCTGGAACCGCTAAACGTTTCTCGTGATTGCCTTTCTGTTCACTGAAAAGTTTCTCTCTCGCAGACGCATCTATTTCGAACAGGGCATCCTTGGATTCTGATAACTTTAGAAGCAATGCATCCGATTGCATACGATGAAACTTCCGTGAATGCGCCCTGAAACCGACGGGACTGAATCAAAGAAAATGCCGGAAATGTAAAATATAACCTCGGATGGTCCGAACTTCGACTGAACGAACCCAAATTTCTCGTCCATCAGATGAAGTACATCAAGAACTGCTGATTTCAAACTTATGCTGTCTTAATCCACTTGCATCAAAGAACTTCGGAGAGGAAATTCGAAGAAAATCCATCTGATCGTTGTAGACGTCAGAAGCGTAAGTGAATTTTAGTACATTTGGAAATGCCCTATTTAGCAGGAATGACGATGAGAAGCAAAAAATATCGGACGACTTCCTAAAAATGAAATATCATTTAATAAGATTTGCTGCACGTGGAATACAGTATGTGCGTGTACAGTTAATAATATCACGTCGCCGGTCATTACAAATGATCATATTCATACAAGAGTATTTCTCAGGACTCTTTAATATTTGTCAAGTGAAATTCACAATTCGGCATTGCAAATAAGGAGAGAATGTAGCCTATTCCTAAAAATTGATGCTGGTGAGCTTCCGTTATGACGACTGTCGAGACGTATTTGCCAGTCATTGAGCAAACTTTTTTGAAGTCCCAGCAGAACTTCCTATATACTTCATGAAAATCTTCATGCAGCATAAATCCCCATAAACTCAAGATTTCATTAAAATTGTCATTAATACTTGAAAAGCATCTGGGTTGAATTAAAAATATATATATTTGGAGCTTCGTTGCGAAGATATTTTAGTGTCGAAGAATCCGTTTCACCACGTTCATTCGAAGGAATTTTTGAACGTCACTGCAAACAAATTTCTTCCCAAGATTACAGTATTTTGCAGAGCGGAGGTTTACATTTCAGGAAGATGACATCGCATTGAAGAACGCCTCAATACTGTACCAAAAATTCTGCGGCATTTCGATTCACAACTCTTCGCGGGGCCTTGATATCGGGTATTTTCTTATCTGGATGAAGACACCCGGACTTTAGCCCGGGTAATGAAGGTTCTAACGCAATACTCAAAAAGAACAAGCTGGATTTCCGCCGTAGCCGAATCTTATTTCGGTTCAATCGACCGAAAACCCAGGTGATTTCCTCACGCTCTCGACAAGATAATTTCGCCCTTAAGGATCGGTAATCGTCGGCTCAACGGCTCACCAAACGCTTGAAGCAGAGCATCGGAGAACCAAGCACCGATTTCCGGTTCGGTTCACTTGGTGGGACCGAAACCTGGGTCATTGACAAGGCGATGATGCAGCAGGTTTCGAAACCTCGTCCTCACCAGGCCAGTGCGGAAGTGGAGACTCACCAGCGAGGTGCGAAGAGAACGGCGTTGCCTTGAGTTTCCCGCTGTTTTCTCCGACTTCCTCTGAAGACACTGGGTTCCTCCCAGGGAAGAGTAATGGTTCCCTTGGGCGCTGGGGCAAAGAAAAGGATCCGGAGTTTGTGTAACTGATTCTTTACGAGGTCAAGGCAGCGGCCGTTATAGGTCATCTTTATTCAAGTTACTCGCGTAGGGCCAGAATTTTTGGTCAGCCTTCTCCTAGTGTTCGATTATAAAGGTTATGGATGCGGGGTTGCCTCGCGACCTTAGACGTTTTCTTGGACTCAAACGCGCGGTAGTGTCGAGGTTCGGAGTGCGTCGAATGTCAAGAACGAGTGAAAAAAAATATGGCCATTCTATGTTGCAGGAGGAAAGCATCCAAA